TATATTTGTTTCGAACAAACTGAACGCCGAAAAATACTATGCTTAATACAACGTAAAAGATTATACGAGATGTGTCGAGGACCTACTTCAGTGTGAAGACAATCATTTATTTATTTATTTTTTTTTTTTTTACTGAATTCTTTGCAATTTTGAGGCGGATATAAATCCGCAAGCATTCGGTAGCGTTCACGAGTTGAAAGGCTCTAGTGTCATGACATTACCATGTGTAGCAATTTAGGGCAGTTCGATAGAATTCTGTTATGCTCTTTTGTTGGAATATTAATACCGGTTTATCTTTGCACGTATAAACTAAAATTGGAGTCCAGATTTTCTGTTTTCAAATGAATTTTTCTAATTCACATAATTATCCTTAACAACAGTTTAAAAAGAAATCTGAACAATCTTTGTCTAAGGTGCATACCCTCTGTAAAAGAGCTACTACTTATTTTTACAATGAGTTTCATGTTCTCAACTATAAAACGAAAGTGGGTTTAGGGACGAATTACTAATTGGAGATATTTGAATTATGCTTATTAAGCTCGCTAATATATACGTTTTGTCTAAAAATGACGCCAACAAGGCAGAGTATATAGCATTTTTTTCTACCGATATACAAATGGCTTTGTTTGTTGCAAGCGCCTGAAGAAACTAAAGGTGTACTACACTCTATTGGGGATCTCAAAATGCCTGCAAGTTGTATCTACAATAACAGGGCTGAATATTGTCTCCTTCCGGTTGCCAGTTTTCTAATTGCAAATAATATAGTAATCTTGTTTTTCAACCTCGAGCTCAGTCATTTCATCGAAGCAGTCGTTGAATGTTTAGTTGAGCCTCAATACCCTGCTTAGATATAAGCTTTCCAAAAAGCACATTAAGATATAAAACAATTTCAGTCATTGGGCTTGCAAATAAGGACTACAGGAAAAAGCAAATCTGGTTTCGAAAATTTCTTGTACATTTACTTGGTTCCGTACACGAACCTTTTTTTCAATTGACCGAATTAAGTTAATTCAAAAACTATTTACGTCTCGAGAAACGATATTTGAGAGCGCACGAAGATGTGCTTTCTTCCGTAATGATTCTATAAGTAATTGTTGCGCAGAAATACTTTTTCCAATTCACATCTAAGTGTAGAACAAAACTGGTATGGGACGAGAATATTTCGAAACGTAGATATAAATAATGCAATAGTCTATTTCGCATTGTAGGGAACGCGCTTCTTACAAATCGACTATAATCGTTCGCTTATAAATATTACCCTTATATACCAGGGTGTCCTCGGACTGTCATTACAGATAAAATGTCAACACACTCACACACACACACACACACACTCACGCACACGTACACATAGGCCGAATGAACAAAAACCGGTATTAGAGACAACGGGATAAATTGTTATCGTTAACCCATGTAGACCTTATGTAAATAATTAACCCCCATCCTCATTAGTACCCTACTTAACTACAAATTAGTGAGGGATATGATGACATGGCTCAGTCCATATGTGAATAGACTAAACTAGTCGAGGCGATAGTAGTTGCTTCGACTGTATTCAGCTTTAGGGCAAGTTTGGTAGACATATGTGGACGACGATAAACTTTCTGCAGAACAATAAAAGACGACAGGGACACTATCATACACATAGCGACCATTCCTGATTATCTCACGCCATTTTCTGAATTATTGGCACATGAAATTCATCGACAAGGCAGGTAGCGTCGTTATCTCTAGTAGGCGTTCAAGGAATTAGACCAAGGTAAAACATAGAAAAGCCACAAAGGAAACAAATAAAAGTAAAACTATATGACCATTATTAACAAAAATACAAGTGTAGCCTCATAGTATAGATTAGGCAATAGCAGTAGCGTATTTGAATCATAATCGGATATATAGAATGTTTTCATTGTTTTGGAAATAATAGGAAATGAGAAAAAAATTGATGGGAATGGTTTACGAATTGGTTAATGAATTACGAATTGTCTATTTACATTTATGAAGTAATTGCAAATTCAAACGATACGAGATAAACTATGACAGGTCTAGAAAAATAGGGTAACGCCTATTGGTCAGTGTTTAGAGATTGATTATTTTCAGCAAGATTGCTTTATTGGGGTACTATAATTTTTTTGTGAATGGAACATCATCGGGCTTAATCAAGACGAGAGCACTTTCGCGGAAAATAGATCGACTTTGGGGAATTTCTTGTCTATGTTCGTTATGCCTAAAGTTACAAATACTGAAGTTCCAGTGAATCAGCAGTGATTTCAGAGAAGTGAGCAACATTACTTAATACAAAACTATACTAACGATGGTTGGGAATAAAATATGATAGGAATAGCTATATTAATAAATACTAGTATTTTGAATACCGATTAAATGGTTTTCATTGTAACCCGTAATATAAATATTCTTCACTGCTGCTCTGTATTTTGTAGTTGCCATTGAATAAAAGGAAACCCCTGACAATTAAACAAATTGACAATGATAGTAATACTTGTTCTCATTTATTGCTTAGTCATTATTTCAGTATCATATGAAGTTAACTTTGATTAGAAACATACATTTTTATTAAGGGCAACTTAAGCAGACTAAAACAGGATGGTTGACTCTTGCCTTTCGGATTTCGTGGTCAAACGTCCGGTACTAATCGGACTTGCCTTGCTAGCATGCCTACCGTCAGTACCCATATCACATCGCATGTTTGAAAAACACACCACGTTTAAATCATCATGGCAATTACTTTTCTCACAATCACACCGCCAGTATTAGTTGCGCATGTCCCGGTTGGGATTCATGCAAACATCCTCGCCTTAGAAAAGCTATAGAACTGATTTGAGCATATAGGGTGCGAATATGTTGCCACATACGAGCACTTTGCACTGTTGTATAATCTTACCGAAAGAGGGAGCATCGTGAAGCACACACACAAATACCTTCTACATAGAAGGCGTGCATTGTAGAAGCCGTCTAAAAGACAAGAAAAGGTACGCTGCTTCCCCCGCAAGGCTTGGGCTGCCATCACTGTCGATTCTACCGCAAAGCCCCTATGTCGTTGCTCGGAGAACTTTGTCGCATTGGTGTGGCTTTTGAAATTATCTGGAGTCCGGTTGCCCGTCGACCGAGCACCGATTGGTCATCGAAAGTTTCTTTCGGAACGTGTTCTTAGAGGGGTCGCGGTAGTTTTGAACAATAATTCTCACCTCGTCTTGAGACTACAGTGGTAGTCGATTTAGATCAGTAATGACACAAGCTTAGCGTACGACGTGCTTTGGTCGGGTAATGTATGTACGAATTTACTCTTCGGAACCTAATTTCTAGTGCTTTTTTTCCAAAGGCAGGGCTATGCTGGCCATAAAAAAATGCCTAATATAAGGGGCGATTCGGATCGCACAAGATCAGCTACCCAAGACTTAGTAAATATAAAGACAGCGGTCCCACTGTCTACGTTCTGCGCCAGGTTTGCATTAGTTTGGTCCTTGTATATTGCCGAATAATATGCGTTAACAGTTATCTCGTTGCCGTTACCATGTTCCACTGAAACCAGTGCTCCTTGAAAGTTAGCCTTGCTGGGAAGTACTCTTGATAAGTACAAAACCTAATAGCTTCTGCCGTACGATAGTTTGAAGACAACTATTCACGTAACATAGATTCAGAGAATTTCGTTACGCAACAGTTCTCGGAAATACTTCCGAGGACAAAGTCAAGCTTTGATCGTGTATGCATCCCAAGTCTGAGGTCCTGACCGAAACCACGTGCCCTTCGGTATCTATTCTCAGTTTTTCTTTGGCACATGACTGTAATTTCGATATCCTCTTGGTTATAATCGGCTTTTCTATTTCAATGAATCCTGTTTACATGTTGGCGCATTTTGTTCTCAATCCGATTCAAGTTAACTACGCACCACAGGGATAACAAGACACGGCGATGGCTAAAAGATGTAGCGTAGTTGTCGTAATAACGCAGCGTGCTTTTATGGTAAATATGACAAACACGTGGTGGCTTAAGATAAACTGCAAGCATGGACACACTTCGTTTGCGGCGGGGAACCAGCTGTTTGATGGAATTCCTAACGGCTATATGAAATGAAAAACTCGAATTCATTGGGTTTAAGAGACGCAATGTCATAGTAAGGTACCTTGGTCGATTCTGTTATCGCCGGCGAGCTGTGGTCGTCACACCTAGCGACAGGCAGCAAACTTCCCGATAGAACGCCTCGAGCGGGCCAGAGAAATCAGCCCAATACGTGCCCCCTAGAACGACGTCGGCTGCTTGCCAAGATGTTTGGTGCTACAGACATAATAGATACATGGATAATATCCATATATTAGGTGAAGGGCTTCGTGATTTGTCTCTGAAAAATCAAGTTACTAGAACTACTCAATGCAAAATACCTAAAAACAGCGCAGTAAACGCATTTAATTTTGCTTTATATATGCTTTCCATATTCTCTAGGTAAACATACATTTGATGCTTTCGGCTATAGCCGTTTAACAGATGCTGTTATCAGTTCGCTCCTGAAAGTGATGAAATAATGGAGGTTAATCTACTTACAAACATAAACTCTTCAAAAAACATAAATAAAACGTATCTGAAAGTACTGGCGTAGAAGAAGAGATTATAATATTTTTATTGGTACTGGCTTTATATGTTAAGCAATACAATGTTTGGAAGCTTCGTTTGTCTAAACAAAGGCTCCAGACCCAACAAGGGTACATATATTTGGTCAAGGCAAACTTCTAAAGGAATTATATCGATATCTTTTAGGCGTTACATTGAAGTTCGCGATTTTTAATGCTGCAGATGTATTACAAAGCGGAATGGCAATCTGAATTGTTTGTGTAATGTAAATGCTAAATTCTAAACCAAGCGTCGCTTGTCAACTCGATTACAGGAACAACTCTTTCACAAAGACTACACTGATTCTCAGTAGTTCCTCCTCTTTTTAGGCATTTACTAGGATAGCAAAACATAACTAAAAATATTAAAAGCTCAATTAGGATTTTTCAGTCTTGTCCTTGCCCTACATAGTTCTGATCCATACAACTGATCTAGGCAGCGTTTCACTAGTGCCCCATCCCTTCATAACATTAAGACATTTAACTAACTTATTATTTGACGAGCAAGCGGCCCGATCTGGGATACATTTTTTGTCGGTAAGAGTATATGTATAGCGATATTCACAAAACCGTCACACTGATTATGACTCATAGTATGTATTTGCAAATAAAAATTACTACTAGTTTGTGAATGTACTGTGGTGATCTTTTCTTCAGAAACAAGTTCGTTTACCATTCACGATCACCCTAAATACCGGTAAGCTATGACCTGATGTGATCAGCGGACCAGCAGAGGCTAGATTTCTAATTATATTTGAGTCGGAAGTTAGAAAAGGGCTCATTGTGGAGCTAATTTAATCAGTATTATCACGTTATTCCCCCCATCGGATTTAAAAATATCGTGATACAGCTACGCTCCTGACGTCTCTGGGTAGACTTTACCCCTCATCCTGTGGGCGCCTCTTACGTTGTTCCACTACCGTCACTGCTGCATTTTACCAGCTTCGCGGAAAGAAATAGAATAAAGCAACGTGCTTTGTGATTTGTTACTGGACTGGCTTTATTTATTATGTTTTCAAATAGGACCGCCGCTCGCCTTTCCCCTCCCCATTGAAGGTTTGTTCCAATATGTTGTAGATGAGAAAGCACAATTGTTACACATCGGTCTCCTATGCGCAGTCTGACAAAGTGCTGTTAGGGAATATCTACTCCATATGTTTATACTACTTGAATTCCTGAGAGACAAGAAAGGTTGGTGAGCTTCAGTTGGGCTGGGAGCATTATCATATGTTCGCGTGTGAAGAAAAACTATCTTTTTCAGACTGGTACATTATACTGCTTCGATCACCGAAAGAATGATGATTATGTAGAAATCCCACGCTTATTCGGTACCTCCTACTGTGGTTATCAGTTAAGAGTTTCCTAAAAATATCTCAGGAATACCTATTCAGTCATTTAACTATAATGTAAATGATTTTGCAAGTTAATCTGAGTTTATTTACCGGATCATAAAACAGATACAGCACTAGTCCTCATCTTTAATCAATTGAATCATCATATGACTCATATGCATTTACGCTTAGACTAAATTTAACGTAAAACCTAAGTGACTTATTGTTCCTCACAGTTGTGAATGTCTTGTGCGATATTCTTAAATCCTTTTAGTAGTCCAGTATCTCGTGTGATCAACAGTATGCCGGTTCTGCAAGCGGGGCTTCGTGCATATAGTGTGTTTTAATAAAAACTGCTCTGCTCTTTCAGTTTGATCCTATTGTTAGAATGATCGTTTTAATACATTTTTCTGGGATAAAACTTCTACCCAATCGGAAACATTAGTTGCAAATTAAAATTAACCCTGCCGGAGCCTGCGGAGAGCTGCGGACCTCTTTCGCCACTGCTTATTCCGACGCGCCTTAAAAATTTCAGTTGAGTGTACCTTGCAGTTCCGTACAATTCAATCTATAACCAATGCGACCTAATCTATACTAGCAAGATACGTGTCGGCATCTTTTGCGTTTGAGGTGGTTGCTCTTCCTGTAACTGTCGAAATCACTCACACATCCTTATGAATATAGACGCTAGACGTCGCGTATAATCCTTTTGTAACTAATCAATCAGGCTTTAGTTGTAGTTAGAGTTAGTCGCAGTAATAATGATTAGCAGAAATTAGCATCAGGAGATAAACTTAATCCAGTCACATCTGGAGTCGTTGATAATAATCGAGAAAACTACGAATCATTTTCCCGCTAAAGTCGATGGATACGGTAAGACGTAATCAGGGTAACCAATGCGTCGAAGTATGAGATACCATGACTGACTGGGGGAATCCTGCTGCTGTTGTTGTTGTTCCATGTATGGGGGGTAAATATATCGCGCTTGAGGTGTCGTTGTTGTTGACAGCGGTGTCACATATGGGTAGGGATATGGCCACGGATATGGCCAGACGTGCGGGTATGATGGAAGAGTCGTTGCTGCTGCTACTGCTGCTGGTGCTGCTGCTGCTGCTGCTGCTGTTATTGCTGCTGCTGTCGTCGTCGTTGTTGCCGCTGTCGTTGTTGTCGGTAAAGGTTCCATTGTTGTTGTTGGTGTTATTCCTTGTGGTGATTCCTCTGATGTGGCCTAAAAGGTAGACAAAAGAGCATGCCGAAATGTCACGTTAGCCCTTCGCAACGTATCAATTTGACACTTTACTAAACTTGCAAGCTCTGCAAATCTTAACTTGCGATTGATTCCTAAAGATCATGTAGTTGATGATTTTTGCATTTGGACCTGCTCAAACGGCTCATCCGATTTGGGACTAGATATGAATCTACGACTACGCTTACCTTTTATAAGTTGTTTTTGGCAACAACAACAAAAAGATGACTTACGTATTTGTGTTAATTCGGCGATTTCTTTATTCACAGAGCAGCACAACGTTTAAATTCGTATGTGTTTTTTTGTTTAGAAATATGTAGAGTCGATAAGGCTTTCTTACTATAAGCGTACTGGCAAAAGTCCACTAATCGAGCTATTTTTGCCATCAATTAAAAATAGAAGTCTATTTATATAAAGTCATCATTATGGCGGTCACTGTTAAGTTAATTTTTAAGAAACATTTGTAAAGGTATGAATAATATTTTCAATAAAGTGTCTTCGCCTTACTAATGTTCCGATAATCTCTACTCTTGGAATACATTTTTCACGGTATTGTCTGGCTCTTCCGCCTGTAAACAAAGTTCGTACGCATTGGTATTGTGACACATATGCGACGCGTTCGCCATTTCGCACAAATGTTTCTGAATAAGGCACAGCAACTTCAATATCGCCATTTGGAAGGATTCGTTTTGACAAAACAATCGCCGGTGTCTGAAATGAGAGAACGTGCATTATAGTACAAAAAGCTTAGTGTACTAAACCGTTCTAACTGTTGAGGACTTAAGCAAAATAGGAAAGAAAATAATGAGTCTCTTCTGAAAAAGAAGTCTTCCGACATGGATGTGCTTCAAAGTTTGAGTAGGATTTATTTTCTGTCCATATATAACACGAAACGTATAAGTCGTTAAAACAATCTTAACGTTGAACTCAAGCGGTTCAATTATTTTAATCTGCGCAAATTATATAATTCACCGCTCTGCTCTTATTAACTTCGAAAAAGTGCAAACGTGTTTTAGACAAGGTTTTCTCAAAGTTCCGAATAAACCCATGTAATCGTGTACTGGCATTTATTTTGAGATTGTTAATACCAGAGGTATTAATGGTTTTGAAGCTAAAATCTCCTTTCAGTGTGTATAGATGAGGACCCCAAGAAGCAAACTAATGGACGCACCCAAATTTGACACTGATCCATCCACTCTGAATTCTATTTATAATTCTGAAAACCACTGCCTTGAACAGAACTTGTGAATATTTGAAATACGGAACATGCATTGTATATATATGATTAGGTCCAAAAGCAAATTTTTCAAACTGTATAATCTAGGACTAGTGATATTAGGAAAATAGAGTTCAGATCATGCCAGCGTTTGTTACTCTCTAGAATTTTATCAACTTTTCTTAGTAGCTAATGGCGTTGAGATTGTGGCTGACTCTCCCAAAATGAACGATGTAGTTACAGATAACATAGGAATAAATTGTTTTCACGCAAGCTTCTTCGTAAAGCGTCAATGACAACGCGAGTGTGGCCCCCCAACTGATAAATACGAAGATTCCAAAAATGTTTGACTTAAGCTGGGGCTTCTAGGCTGAGTATCTGGTTAGATTATGTTTTGTTCCTTTTTGTTCTATTTAACGATTACCTTGAGTAAATCAAGTCAAGATTAGTATGTGCAGCTTTTCCTATGTGTACCTAAACCCATTCCGAGCTGTCTTGAGAAATGGCTACTTTATAAATTATAATAGTAATTTACGGTTTGTGCTTAAGTTTTCATTATGCGAAAAATATTGCAAGTATCGTCTCAGATAGGGACGCGTGCGATATATGAGCGCAATGCGAACTGACTAAGTCAACCATTATATTAAAAATAGTAGCCCAAACAATGGATTACAACCCTAGATATTGAATTGACCTCTAACCGACAAATGGCGGCGTTTGCAGTCAATCTATGTGTGGCATCGTGCTGTCTATGTGATTTCTGAGTCCGTACATAGGTGCCTAGTAAGAGGCGAAGTTACCTAAGCTAAGTGGGCCTTAGGGATGATATCGCTAGTGTTAAGTAGATCGTCGATATTAAGCCGACAGCGAAAAGGTCTAACGGCTTAATCAAGTGGCAAATTGAACATACCCGACAATCTAGAGCACTCCGTATTATAAAACCAATTTATTTTTTTGCGATATGAACTGCTCCGTTGTTTGACTCTTTGAGAATATTATTAATTCCTTTTCGCAGTAACTGGACATGAACCCTACAGCTGCATGGCCACTATTTTGTCTGGATGAAATCTCAAGAATAACTGGTGACCGCACTTACTTATAGATTACAAGTTAAATATAATCACTGAACTTTCAAAGTACACAAGAAAGAATTTCTGTTGTATGTTCTGTTTCCGTAACATGATTATCCAAGATAAGGTGCATTTGGCTTTCCTTTATGACCTAATCTGATTTCCAGTTAATATCTACTATTTAAATACTATACTATACTAGTAATCACAAGTCTGTAATAAATATGCCTCCTGCGAAAAATTTTTTCTTTATGCGGTTAGCTTAAGCACACAATGAGAAGGAAAAGAAACTGCGGCTCGAATCATTGGTCCACGTTTTTACGTTAATGAGACGCGACTTACGATGATGGTAGCACTACCAAGAAGACTGTGGATTTATTACCTCTACCTAGCATAGATAGCCACGTTCCCGTATAATTTAGGATTGCGGTGCATATTTTAGGTACATTAAGGAGTCGCGCTGCGTGTTGCCAATTATTGATACTGTACAGAGGCATTACAGAAAATGTGTTTTTGTGTACATACACGATTCCAACATACGATCTGCAATATTTTACTGCCTCTTGTAATTTACTGCATTTTGCCTATACTAAATGCTTACTCCCGGGCATACTAGTCAATGGAAACGTTAAAAGTGCCTAGATCAGTTACTGTGAACGATTGCTCTAGGTCTTTTTTATATTTAATAATAATAATAATAATCAATCTGAAAATCTTCCAAACGACTACGGCCTGCAAGCTTACCTTTCCGGGTGGAGCAAGGAGCTGAGTCTTAACAGTTGCAATAAATAGAAGTAAAAAAGGCCACGATAATATCATAGGTGCAGTTTTTTTCACAAATTATATATCAAACGAAATCATGCAGCACTCGTACAGCGTGCCCTTCTGTAACTGAGCGGGCGACATTAATTGAGACAACTACCCAAACATTAAGATTGCTGGTAATGGTTGACGAAATCGCGGTTGGCACTTCGCTCATTACCGGGTTAAGTGCCAAGCAGGTAATGATACGAGCGCCTGTTTCTAGCATGTGCTTAACGAGTAACTGCGTATGCTACACTATACTATCATGCTAGTATATCAGGTCCTTTCCATTGGCTCATCACATCAGATACTGAGCACGGCGGAACTACCAATCCCTCTTATATTTCAGCTAATTTTGATCACATCGCTATGGCTGGTCGTGCGTCAATGCAGTCACGTAAATGCCGATCCATTTACGGAGGTCCTGAAACACCGATTCTCTGGGCACGGTCCCCCGTAAATTTCGAATACTGCGAAAGCGTTTTAACTATTTTGACGATGGCCACTAATAACCGATACCGGGACTACTCTTGAGTGAAGTGTCGAGATCTTCGATACAAAATGCTTAGGTTTTCACCTGTTTGGAACATGACGTGCGTTAGGTCCGTCAGTGATTTTTTGGGGTCATATCTAGGCATCTTTCCGCGGCGTTGCGTTTCTGGATTATTGACAAACCTCACATTTAGACAGTGACTTTCAACTGTCGATCAAACAACGAATGACCAAATAGAACCATTCATTTGTACTCTTTGAAATGATTCTTCTGAGACAAACAATCAAAAATCACAACTTCTGTTCCACTTAAAGTCACTATAAAATGCAATGTTTCTGCTAGAGAGCTTAAAAGTTGAAGTATAACGTAGCTTCAGACCCTCAACAGAATAATGGTATTTGATATTTTGTGCCTGCATTGTTGAGCGTCAAGCAATCTTGCGAGCATTAAATGAAAGTACTATAGAATGAATGAAGTTTGTGCTACTGTAAAAAGTAACAGCACGCATTAAATATAGTATTTAAAAAAATGTGGTAGAGCTCGTAGTGGGAGTCAAGGTAAATAATGAGTGAGGCTGCTTACTGTGGCCTACACCTTAACTGCGCGGGCGATGCGGATTCTTCTGTCTACAGACATGTTGTCTGTACAGACATGTAGCTGTGTTTTGCCCTGTTTTCGTTGACATTTTTATACACTGACCTTCGTTGACTATTGCAAATTGATTCTGCACTATTGGTGCCTAAAATATAGCTGAGATTTTTACAAAAACAGTATTATCTCCATTTGAGTTAAACGCTTTAGACATACTCTACAAGTATTTAAAAAACAAAAGGGTTCCATCATCGTTGTTGTTGGCGTTTGTTTGGTTTCCCTCGTAATAGTCTTTCACCGAGAAACGAGACGCAGTGTTAGAAGAAGACTTCTACGGACGCCTATAGTTATCTAGTGAAGAAAAATATGAAGCACGAATAAACCATGTGTTTTAGAAACTGTGAAACTTGCTCTGTACACGTACACGTTAGGATAGAAAATCCTGATGATGCACAGGACAAAGAAGCGATTTGGCTAAGAAAAGACGTGGCCTTTTACCAAGAGAAAATTGTAAGAACAGTTGATCTCTTTATTTTGCTTGCCCTGAAATCTGCCGGTATCTGTGCCCTTCCTATTTGCGTTGTTACTCTTGCTTTCGGTGGGATTGAACGATTAAACTTTATTAAATTATCGGTCACCGCAAAATTTGGCTCGATGTTTTCGTCTTTGGAGAACCACTACTTGGTTTTCGTTCATTCGTTCGTTCACGTTTCACGCTCATCGGCATCAACCAATGTCTATCGACTCGTATATGCCTTAAGGCACAAATAAAGCGATATATTAACATACGAGATTAATGTGTAGATTTGTGAGGATGGGGGAAAAAATTCTATAGGTTAGACGGTAGCTCTGGCGTGTAATAGAATATTATAGAAATACGCGCTTCCATTCTACCCACATGATCCCTTTTATATGTGTGTGTATATATATATATTGCGTCTTGAGACGAACGAAGAGTTGTAACGTAAATATTGTGAGACCGATTACGTAAGAATTAGTCACGAGTTATGATGTTTTATAGATCAGGGGTTCATCTGATTAACTATTCAGTTTTCCACAATAGGAGTTCGTGTAATCTTTAAGTTGGGACCCCTTAATTGAATCTATCTGATATATCATGTTAGTTAAAAAATAGTATTAGATGGTTGCTTTGATTTTCAGGTAGCACAGATGGTACGTCAGTTACGCGAACGTCGCCGCTCGGAAACAGCGGAACGTATTGAGTTAACGATGGTTCTAAAAACGCCAAATCCTATATGTCAAGAATCTTTTGGAAAACTCAACGGGGTCTTTCTCATTTCGCTAGCCAATTTATTGTGCACAAGAAACACGGTACGTGATTATTCTGCGTGCACAGTGCGTGCCGTAAACAAATGTTAGGAGATCACGCAAAAACGAAATCCATATGGCACCAATCGCAAGCTACGTTTTTCGTTCTTGGTTCCTGTTTTTGATCGAGGTGGAAACGCTTAAACGCTTGACCATAAGCGTTAGAAACAGATCTTTTAGTGTACTTCCCAGTTGCGTGTACCTTTCTGTTCTAGGAATAAACAAGACAGAGCATAGAGCGAGCATCAGATGGCGATCCTTAACTTCGGTGAAATGCAGTGAAATGATGGGAGCCTAGGGACGGCATCTGTCAGCTCTTTTTGGAAATTGCTTTCAACTGCTTTGTGAGGTGGGTTTTACCCAGAAGATAAACGATACTGATTGTGACAAATGCACACAATACAAAACTTATACCAAGCAATGGTGTTTTTGTTGCTGTTGTGTGGTAATGGCGACAGTAGAGAGATGTCGCGAACAGTCATTCTTTTACTCACAAAAACGTTCTCTTCCGAGGTCTCGCGCTTGCTTAGTTACCGCGAACATTTTGATCGATCTGCTCTAACAATAACCTTTTTACTAGTAGTGAATATGTAAATAAGCCCAGAATCATTGAAAGGTTATCACATGTACCGCTAGTGCCAATGCTGGTTTGATCAATATAACTAGACCATATTATTTTCAATCCTCGTGGGCTTGCGTTTCTCATTTAACGCAGATTCCAGAAAATTTCGAAACAATTTGTGGCGACTTTCTAAGCGCAGGTAATGCTTAAAATTTAGCTTTACACGCTAAAGGGTTATAACTACAAAAACAACAGCCTAGATGAAAAGATCATTACGAATTAATAGTCCTGATATTTTTTTTTAAACGTTTATGAAAAAATTCGTTTATCATAGCTCAGTATTCCGCATACCACTGACAATACTAGACTCAAAATGTGGCAAAGACGACGAGGAAACATTCGGCCACAGCTAGGGCTTGATTGTTAGTTCATGCAGACGTTTTAAACATGGACGTTACTACGTTCCCCAACACTAGTGTATAATTGTATATGTACATCCATTGAAAAAATCTCGGGAGAAACGGGAATTCAGGTATATCGCTGCCAAAAATTACCGCAAAACTGCATCGACTAAAATACAAGTCAGTTTTACAAGCCAAGGAAGACAGACCTGTTGGGAAAATCTGCTGCAATTTAGTAGGGGCCTGGGGAGACTGTCACCACCCCCTTGCAACTTCCAATGTTCAGCATGTTCTTTGTGAGTCTTAAGTCGAACAGTACGGCGCAGCTACTATCAGGATTCTCCATACTCATAAGAGTTCTAACACTTCAATGTTTGATCCATTTCGACGCGGAGTTCAGCGTGGCTGACACGGTTCTCGTACATTCGCAACTTCCCGGCGTTTCTCATCGCGATACGGTTTCTACCAGCCGTATTATCAGATCTCGTAATGACACGAATATGCATCAGACAGAGCCATAGATAGCTACTTCATTTTTAAATTGAATTTATTTTCACACCTTATTGAGTTCAAAGAAAGGGTTAGTTTTCGCTGGCGCTGGTTGATGCATCGTTGTTTCATACTCTTTCGTTTTCAGTCTATGCTTTTATGAGCAATTATATTTAAAAAATCATTACTATACATATTTGTGAGTTAGCTCTAAAAACTCTAATGAATAATCGTGGTAAAAACAAGCCACGGTGGTTGCATGAAGTGGGGAAGGTCACAAAAATAGTACTGGTACATTCCTCTATAAAAAATCTTTAAATGCAGAATAGTATATCATTCTAAAAGTTACTTCTATGAACTTTAGACTGAACTAAGCAATTCTTGTGTTAAACAGAGGGACGAATAATTGTGTAAGCGTTCTCGGACACGGCAACATGATCAATGTAGGCGTATCAGCGACACTAACAGGGCTGCGGGTATGCTGATGTATAATCAACTATCAAAGTCATCAACTTCAGCTTGATTTAACTGAAAGAAGTTCATGGAGTTGAAAGGATCCCACTATCAAACAAACACAGATAATAATACACGGCGGCCCTTTGACTGATTCTAGCGACCTGTACGATTAGTTAGTAAATACTGAGTCTTTAAATCGTTGAGCTAGCTTCATATATGGCTTGGTCTCGCTGCTACGTCACCTGTTGACGCTTGCGTGTTGACATATTGACAATTGGGCATTCCCATTATCAGCCTGTAAAATCCGACCTGAAACTAGAGTCCAGTTGTAAAGCTAAGCCAATTTATCGGTCGAAAATCTTCAAGCCAATCGAAATTGCTTCAACTTTCAAACAGTGTATTTAATTATCCTATAAATTAAACCTTTGATATGAAATTTGCTATATATATATATATATATATATAAAATTAGACCTTTTAAGATCGGCAGTAAAGCAGTTGTTTAATAACTACTTTGATAATGACATTAATTAAAAGTTCGCTAACGAACTCCAAACACCAAAGAGTATTGCACGTCCGATGCTACCTTTATTTTTTTTTCGTACTACAACAAGCTGCACATAATATCATTCTTGTCTGAAATGTTTCAAAATAAAGTTTCTTAAACCTTCCATAGGAACCTAACCTACCTACCTACCTACGGCCATATATTGCGATTGGCCAAAATCTTAACTCTTCCAATTAATAATTATAGCAAGAGCTCAAAATAGCCACCATGCACTTTAAGCAAGCGACAGGTGTTTTGGAAAATAATGAACTAACTCATCAAAAAAATGATACGAAATCTTCATGTACCACAGCATGCTCTCTACGATTTGCGAACCACAGCTGCTTTGTTCGCAGCAGCAGAGTGAGGTTGTAGGTCATCGCAACTATCATATCCAGACTTGCTTGATACCGATCGAGTTGGGTCGAACATAAGATAGAATATACATTTTTGCGGGTTAGGTATTTTTATACGAATTAAGTAACATGTTGTCAACTACGGAATTACGAAAAACAACAACAACAACAACACGCGCTAATAGAATTACGGCTTTTTTTTTTTTTTATATATAATACAGCTTTTCCTATCCAGATCCAACTACTAGCCATAGATACGAGTGAAAGCATAGGAGAAATATACCCTCCATTTACCAAAACATTTTTTTCAACAAAACAAAAACATGTACTTAATCAACATGTG